AACCAATCTGACCTGCAAATCTATATGGTATGTATACTACATTCAGATCAGTCACCTAGGGTATATTTGGAGTATACCTGGAGAGGGCTTCGGGGGTCAACGCCCCCGCGGTTCTGTCTGAGACCAGGCCGCGCATAGGTAGTGTCCCACATTAACTGATCAGTATACTAGCAAAGCATCTCCCACAACTGCTGGAAAGCATCACCAAGAAATGCTTCAAGTTTTTAATAGACCCAGAGGAGTGGAGGCTGGAGTTATTCTTAATACAACCTTCCAGCCCCATTGCTCCGGTAATATCATCCATGACGCCAAGAACGTACCCTCACCATTTCATAGTAAGCTTTAATAATATTGTATATATTATCAGCATCTTTACTTATATCGGTGAAAATAAGGCAGGTTTAGGAAACTAGGTAATAAGAGGTACTATGAATTGAATAAAGAGCACGAAAGGCGAAAATATAACTCGCGTGCTAGCACGCGTAGGCTAAAAATGGATTTGAAATAATCTTTTATCTTTGAGATTAGCCAATCAGAATTTAATTTCACCATTACGCGAGTGGCGAAGAGTTGCTTCTGCGCGTCGTTGTGTCCTCCCGCTTATAAATCTGCGAGACGGGCTCCTGGGTGTCAGTAGTCTGGTGTGGCTGTCACGGGATAATCCGTGGATATTTTGCACTGTACCTGAGGTGAGATAATGTAATTTATATTTAGGTTCATGAGTGTACTGGAGGGCTTGTGTGTGTGTGTGTGTGTGTGTGTACTCACCTAGTTGTGGTTGCAGGGGTCGATTCACAGCTCCTGGAACAGTCTCTTCACTGGCTGCTACTGGGTCACCCTCCCTGCACCATGAGCTTTATCATACCTCTGCTTAAAGCTATTAATAGATCCTGATTCCACTACATCGCTTCCCAAACAATTCCACTTCCTGAACAACTCTGTGACTGAAGAAATACTTCCTAACATCCCTGTGATTCATCTGAGTCTTCAACTTCCAGCTGTGTCCCCTTGTTGCTGTGTACCATCACTGGAACTTTGTCTCTGTCCACCTTGTCAATTCTTAGTATTTTATATGTTGTTATCTTGTCCCCCCTATCTCTCCTGTCCTCCAGTGTCATCAGGTCGATTTCTTTAATCTCTCCTCGTAGGACATACCCCTTAGCTCTGGGACTAGTCTTGCTGCAAACCTTTGCACTTTCTCTAGTTTCTTTACGTGTTTGATAGGTGTGGGTTCCAAACTGGTGCCGCATACTCCAATATGGGCCTAACGTACACGGTGTACAGTGTGTGTGTTTGTGTCGGTGGGTTGTTGGAGGTGTGTGTACTTACCTAGTTATATATATATATATATATATATATATTATATATATATATATATATATATATATATATATATATATATATATATATGTATATATATGTATGTATATATGTATGTATATGTCGTGCCGAATAGGCAGAACTTGCGATCTTGGCTTAAATAGCAACGCTCATCTTGCCATATAGGACAAGTGAAAATTTGTGTATGCAATAATTTCGCCAAAATCATTCTGAGCCTAACGAAAAAAATATATTTGATTGTGTTTGTTTAGTACTAAATTACTGTAATCGTATTTAAAATATATTTAGTTGGGTTAGGCTAAAATAAATTGCTCTTGTTATAATAAGGTTAGGTAAGTTTTCTAAGATTCTTTTGGTGCAAAGTTAAAAAATTTTACATTAACATTAATGAAAAAAATATATCTTTAAACGTATAAGAGAAAATTTCAGAAAGGACTTAATTTTAAATGGGTTCTTGCTAATTGACCAGTTTTACATATTCGGCACGAAATATATATATTTGTGTGTGTGATTATTGACAAAAAAATTCCAAACAGAGTTGTAGTGCTCTTCTAGCACCTAAAATAATTAAACGGCCTAATTCAATCACAACAAATTACGTACATGAATGAAATCATAATTAATTTCATGTTCGTTATTAAATAACAGAAACCGATCTTAAAATTCGAACATAGTGTCTGGAAATTAGATATTAATGAAAAGATCAATTTAGCAGAGAAAATTATTAAAGTGTAATTTTAACCAATGATTTGTAATATGTAACTAATTATTTAACTAATAAATTTAATATGCTAAAAGAAAGAATATTTTAATCACATTAAAAACTTTGGAAGACATCAATAAAATATATTTAACTTATATTTTAAGAAAAATATCAGTTTAATATTAGCGCAAAATTTATGCTTTATGATCCTATTTGACAGCCGCCCTAATGAAGAGACGATTCCAAAATCCCTGTTTGATGAGAGCTTACCGCCACAAAATCATGTGGTTGTGGATTAATGGAAAACCACCAAAAGAAATCTCGCTGGAGAACGGAGTCAGCCTCAGCACAGTATACAGGTGGATTCGACGATGGGACAGAGAAATCACAATGGATACACAGAGACACAGATGGCCCTACCATCCTTCGTCCTTCCCAATATATTCAGACAATGAAACAATCACTGTTGGCTGCAGATTTCCAGATACAGCTCTCAACAGCAGCTTCTTTGAGGCTCAGATACCCTAAACACTGACTATAATCCGGCATCAGTAAACTACTCTACCTGGGAAATTTAGTGTTAACCTCAGACACACTACAAACACCTAAGATGATTTAAAAGATTTCGTTTCTCTTCGAGAAAAACTATATATTCGTAGAATTTTAACTGTTAAGATGAATCTAAATACAGTACTTTTTAAGACAACTCTTAGCGATACCATCTCTAAATAAACTTGATTTCAGACATCATAAGATGACTTCATTTATTCTCATTAAAATTATAACTGGTTAGAATAAAAGCTTTATCTATTTTTTTGTAATCTGTAATTAGTTTCACATTTACACAAACACTTTTACACAAAAACAAAAACGTAGGTATTCATACACCTACACACTGCACCACCTAATTTACACCCCTGGATATAATTAAAACACAGCGTTTAATACTCTCTAGTAATAAAATATTTATTGAAAAACTGTTTTATTTCCTAAAACTTAAAATTATATTTCTAATACGTTAAATGTAATGCTTCTTAATATAATATTTTCCTTCATAATAAATATATAAAAAAAAATATAAAGCTCAAATAAATAAATATTAATATTGACATAATAACACAAACAGTACATTATTTTTTAAATAATGATACCAATAATAAAATTAGTTTTTGTGGGCATGTTAGATCGGAGTCAATAAAGACGAATGATTTTTATTGTTGTTGGAGTGTGAACATTGTTACATCGAGGAAGAAACTGGGGGAAAACTGGTTAGCCAGACTTGATCCTTAGAGGTGGGAAGTATGTGCCTGCACTCTGCAGGAGGAATTGGTAATATTGCAGGTCACAGGTCATCTGAACCAAGATAACTGAGTACTAGTAGTTGTAGTCGTTGTAGTAGCATTAGTAAAATTAGTTGTAGTATCATCTATTCAACAGGTGTCTTGCCAAACGTGCTCAGACATCACACTCAAATGACCCTCGTAACTGTAACTTCCCTCCCACCCCTTTGCACCACCTTCATAGTTCAGGCAGTGTACTTTTCACCCCTGGAAGCTTTGTCACCAGAAAAGAGGCGGGTCCAGGAGCTATGATTCGACCGCTGCAACCACAACTAGGTGAGTACACACACTACTAGGTCCCTTCAAGAGCTTTGTCGAACTTCTTTCTAAAACTAAATATGGATTCTGCTCCAATCTGTCACCTCCAGATTATTCCCACTTCCTGACAACTCTTTGACTGAGGAAATGCTCCCTAATATCCCTGTGACTCATCTGAGTTTTCAAGTTCCAGTTGTGACTCCTTGTTGCTGTGTCATATCTCTAAATTATTCTGTCCCTATCCACCTTGTCAGTTCCTCAGTACATTATATGTCGTTATCATATCCCCTCTATCTCTCCTGTCTTCCAATGTCGCCAGGTTGATTTCCTCTTAACCTCTCCTCGTAGGGCAAACAGCTTAGCTCCGGAACTAGTCTTGTTGCAAACCTTTGCACTTTTTGACTCACGGAATCGTAATGGCACGATTGCAAATAAACCATACCACGGGCTGGGCTAACGCTTCGGTCTGGAGTTTTATGACTCTCTGATCGCGGGTTCTGTCCCCGCCCGTGGTGTTTGACAAGGTGTGGGTTCCATACTGGTGCTGCTTACTCCAGTATGAGCCTGACGTATATAGTGTACACTGTCTTGAATTACTCCTTACATGGATGTCGAAACGCTATTCTCAGGTTTTCCAGGCGCCCCTATGCTGCAGCGGTTATTTTGTTGATGTGCACCTCAGATGTGCTCGGTATGATGCTCACCCCAAGATCCTTTTCCTTGAGTGAGTTTTGCAGCCTTTGACCTACTAGGCTGTACTCCGTCTGCGGTCTTCTTTGTCCTTCCCCAAACTTCATGCCTTTGACTTGCTGGGAGTAAACTCTAAGAGCAATTTGTCGGACCAGGCTTGCAACCTGTACAGATCTCCTTGCAGGGTTACCTGATCCTCGTCCACTTGTATTCTTCTCATTAGATTTACATTGACTGCAAACAGACACACCTCTGTCATTTACATATAATAGAAACAACACCTGATCCGTAACTGACCTTTATGGAACCCCACTCGACACATGCACCCACTCTGACACCTCGTCACGTACAAGCACACGTTGTTTCCTTCTTGTCATGTATTCCCTGATCCAATGCAGTATGTGTGTGTGTGTGTGTGTAGGGAAGGTGGGAGTGGATATGAGGTGTCAGGCTTTACCACTGAGTGTTTAACACCCAACTTTACATTTTGCAAAGGAGAGCTGGAAAGAGTAAATATACAACTGATATACTGACCATCAGGTCTTTATTATAATTAGTAATACAACGTCATTTTAACACAAACAGTCGTGAAATGTACTTCCAAGAAGACTTGAAATATTATTTTTATTCATTCACCAGGTATTTTGAAGTGAAAAGTGAAAAACAGAATGAGACAACCAGTGGCAGTGACTGTGGTGGTAGCAGTGCTGATTAACGCAGTGCTACGCACGAGTCTCGTAGCTGGAAGCATGCTGAGTCTTCGTCAAGGTTAGTTGATTAACCTGCTTTTTTTTCCATTCGGTGCTTTTTATTTATAATTCAAGAATTCTGAAAGTTTCCCAAGACTTCAAATTTATTGAATGATAAATTTATGCAGGAAGAAACAAAGGCTATAACTTACCTTCAACATTAGCATCACTCATGGTATTTCCAAAATTGTTATAAGTAGTATAAAATATATATTTCGTTTTTAATGGATTCAGATTATGGGAAGCTTCCGAGTCCTTACCAGTCAGCTGCAGTTGTCCTTGATGCTGCCCTTCGGCCACGCTGCTCTGGTATTATCATTCATGATGCCAAGAATTCACCTTCAGCCAATTTCATCGTAAGTCTCAAATTATTGCTAATGATTTCATCAACTCTTGATATAATATAATCAAGTTTACTATTGATTAGAAACTTATGACCATTACAAACTTTACCTTAGAATTTATCGTAAGTCCTCTAATAAAAATGACCTAATATGCTTCGTGTTCTACCTTGACAATAAAATCAAACGAGAGGTTATCACGGATTCTTCATAACTTTGCTGTCAGAAACATTTCGTCACCAACTGTGAAAATAAAACGCCAAATATTCGACTTAACACTAAACTAGAATTAACTAACAAAATGTATATTGTTCTCTCTCTTAAATAATCCGTAACCTAGACAACACCTTAGCCAAAGCCAATGTAACAGTTACAAACATAGCATCCACAACCATCGGGGACTTAGCTACAAAGGCGACAATACAAATTATCACCACTGCATCAGTCTATATTATAATTACTCCAGAATGACTGAAGCTCAAAAAACTGTACTTATCAGGAAGGAAGTTTGTCAAGTCTCTTATAGTAACGATCAGGTAATTATTAAATATAAATAACGAACAAACACTATTATAAAATAATATAAATATCACAGAAGTAAAATAATAACTAGAATGTGATAATTATAATCAGAATAAAAGGTGACACAATTTAATAATGCTAGGAGGACCCCGAGGGAGAGTCAAAGAATTCGTTTTGAACACGGTCTTCAGAGAAGAAGTATCTGCAATTTGGTGCTCACTCATTTTATCGCTGGTTGAGTGACGATCACTTGAAAATTAAGGAAAAGTGACAATTGAAGACGATCTGTGGAAATATTCCAGAGACACATCAAGACACACACAGCTACTATTTTCAGCTTTACACTTAAATTATTCTTTATTATACACTGTGCCCCATTCCAAGATAGGAATGGGTTGGCTAACATATTTGAGATAATTTATTATTAACGAGTTACTAGAGTTATAATATGTTGTAAGCTTATGTTTAGTAAAAATATTTAGGGATTATGAAGCTTTTAATGATTATTTTTATACATTGTGTGAAGTGGTGAGGTGAGATAGACATACCACATTTTTACACTACATAATCCAGGGGTTCGACCAGCTGTGGGCTTCCTGGGGAGTGGCAGTGTTCCAGGTAGCAGCTGAGAGCCTAGATGCTAACGTGACGCAAACACAGCTCTCATTTGTGGTCTCCCAAGCAATGCGGGTACGTCACTCTCCTATTACTAACTGTTAAGGCTGGTACGTCACTTTCACAATACCAATGAGGCTGGTACGTCACTCTCACATAACGTCTTACATGGTGACATCAACAGCTGAGGCAGGTGTCGTGGTGCATGACGGTGGTGGTAGTGAGTGACAACAAAGACTTCCTCACCACCTTCGCTGAGTGTTCCCTCAAGGGCCGCCTCCTGGTGTGGTCGACGAGGCTCCTCGCCGTCACCCGCCTGCCCCTCCCGCAGCTGCAGCAACTCCTGAGCGCCCACTGGACATTCTCAATGATGAATGCGATGTTGGTAATTTTGAACGAGAAGTTGAGTCTACACAGGTAAATTTCTCTAAAGATAAATAGTTTTCAGTAGCAAAACATGCGAGGACCCTCTTTAAAATATACGTATAAATATAATTAATTCATTCTTAAAAAAATAATGATGTCATCAGGAGGGATTAAAAATGCAGGATCCAAAATATTGATGATTCCAGCACCGAATTTTGCATTTTTCGGATCTATTTTTTTTTTTTTCAGGATGAGAACTTTTAGACCTGATAACCAATAATGAATCATGATTTTGCTGTCCCTCAGCATTAGCCTTGGCTGTGTTGTCCGGAATGTTATTATGTTAGTAAGCTAATTTTCCATTAAGCTTGATGATCTCGTCAGAATGTATTAAGCTATTTGCTAAAATATCGTTGCCTACTTTCGAAACTCTTATCAGTTATTTTCAACAATGCCTCCAGAATTATCTGATAAAACACCAAATAAGTGAAACAGATGTCTCCATATTTCGACTGGATTTTATCATGTAATTTCGATTTAAGTTTCAGTGTGTATGTAAATCTGCCGTACAGCGCCTCCGGAGCCAAAATAGTGTGGACTGGAATGTGGACCAAAAATCGTGGTCTTGAACTCCTTGACAGTCTCCTTTTTCCTGAAAAATTCAATAAGTAATACTGTAATATATTTATGGTCTAATAGAAGTGGCATATAAATCAAATGTAATGCATGACAAAATTCTCTGCCTGTAATTGCCAATCTACGATTTGAAAAATTGTAAAAATAATTATTTTTGTTTCAGCTTTTACGGTGCCACAGTAAATGTGACAGCTTTGACATATAGGCCTTTCTGGAGCGTAATCGAGGATCGGAGTGGTGACAACCCTAGTGTCTGCAAGTACTCTGGCAGCGATGCCATTATGCTGTGTACCATTGCTAACTCTCTCAACTTTACCATTAACGTGCTACCTACAACCACTTGGGACCAGGTTTGTTACCTGTAACCATCTGGAGCCAGATATGTAATCACCAAGCACCAGCCCTGTGACCAATGATCCCAGATTTGTAATCGCTTGGCATTAGGTTTGTTACTACATGGCACTAGATTTGCAGTCGTCTGGGGCAAGGTATATAACCACCTGGTATCAGATTTGCATCCATCTGGAATCATATTTGGTGTCAGTCATGTGTCGGCGTCACCTAGACCAGGTTTGAAATCATTTGGCACCAAGTTTGTAAATACCCAGGACCAGATTTGTTAAAACCTACACTGTGTTTTAACATTATTTTCAGTTCTGTAACATTCCTCATGGTACTACAGTGTTTTATACAACTGTTACAGTTTCTCACGACACTACCACTAGTTCAAAGTGGCCTCAAATATGTGTAACACATCACCGTCTTGGTAATGTGTTACACGAAAGCCAGGGTCGTCTATTCTAAGAAAAATACTTGCCTGAGCTGCCGAACGTCGTTTTCTTGGTGACTATGTAAATTTAATGCTTTAATAAAGGTTATATCTAAAAGTAAAATTAACATTTTTCATCAATAATTTCTTATAGTATTTATCTGTCCCCTATTTATAAAAAAAAATCAAATGCTGTACTGTATTTCCAGGTCACAGACTTGGTGATGGAGAGAACATCCTTCATAGCAAGTGTTAGTTATATTGTGCTCCCACAACGCCTTCTTCTCTATGACTTTACGTATATTTTCATGCACGGCCCGATCTCCTTCTCCGTGGCTACACCTTCTCTCGCTTTCACCTGGAAAAGCCTCTTTGACCCTTTTGAAGTCGAAGTTTGGATATCAATCCTCGTGATCTTATTTCTGGTGCCTCCCTGTCTGTTTATGGTAAGCAACAGTATTGTTGGATTTGCGGTTTTAGTTTACTGTTACTGCGCCCTAGATGGAAACTTCAGCTCAGGTACTTTCACAAGTCTTTGTGCATCATCAGAGGTATGCAATGTTGGAAGAGAAACACTGGGAGAAATGAGGGAAAGTTTTCTCAGAGTAAGGTAGCGTGGTGACACCAGCCAGAAGTTCGCTTTGTGAAAGTATTTGAGCTGAAGATTACTATCCTTCATGGCGTGTCTTGCATTGTTAATATCACCTGTCTGCGATTACACACACACACACACACACACACACACACACATATATATATATATATATATATATATATATATATATATTATATATATATATATATATATATATATATATATATATATATATATATATATAATATATATATATATATATTATATATTATATATATGCTAAACAATTAGCAAAAAGGCGAAATTATTTACAACGTTGTCTCTACGTCCACAGCAGGACTCGAACCTGCTAACTCTGTATCAGAGTCCACAGTACTTTACCACGAAGCTAGATCCTAAAAGCACTGTGGAATTTTAGGGTACACAGTACTTTTAGGGTCTAGCTTTTAGGGTCGAACCAGAGTTAGCAGGTTCGAGTCCTGCTGTGGACGTAGAGACAATGCTTAAATAATATATATATATATTATATTATATATTATATGATATATATTATATATATATTATATATATATATATAATATATATATATTATATATTAATATATATATATATTATATATATATATATATATATATATATATATATATAATATATATATATATATATTTTATATATATTATATATATATATATATATATATATATATATATATATATATATATTATATTATATATATATATATATCAAACAAGAGATACAAGACGCATAACAACCACGGGGGGAGCTTGCAATGATGCATAAAAGGAGTAAGTCCAAGCAAATTCAGTTACAGGAAACGTTCTTGCTGGACTGAGCAAGAAGGTTCCCTGTTCCTTTCACGTTATACTATATGTGAGAATGAACAAGATGAGCTTATAAGATTATTTCGTGAATATATAAATTTAAAAACATAATCATCTCTCTGTGTCAGATCAACTACCCAGAAGACAGAGCAAAATTAAGTGACAAATTAACGATAGGAGACTCGGCTGAAATAGCTGTTGGAACGCTGCTTGGTCAGAGTACCAAGAAACAACTATCTGAGAGTAGTTCAAGTCGGTTGTTGTTGGTGACTTGGCTGGTGTTCGCCTTCATCGTGAGCAACGTCTACAGGGGCAACCTGACAGCCGCTCTCACCCTCCCCAAGTACCCTGCCAGACCAGAGACACTGGAGCAGCTCGTCAAAGTTGTTGACAAGTAATGATAATTTTCTATGCACTTTTAGGGAGCATGCCTTGATGACAGCGAAAGATTCTGTAGCTAAGAACCTTGAGTAACCCTCATCTCTCAAATTATAGCTGCATATCTGCAAACGTTGGTTAAAAAAGTTATACCCATTATGTTATTCAAATTTTGCAATCCACAGGGTAACAATGCCTGATTATGGGGAGAAGTTTTATCAGTTCTTTAAACAGTCCGATTCCATAGTATATCAGACACTCTCTAACATCATGGAAATCGTCCCTTCCGCAGAGTATGGACTACGCCAAGCTGCAGTTAAAAAGTAAGTGTATGTCTCTAATACGTTCAGAGTGTAAGCGCTGTACTTATTCTTATTATTTTTATTATATTAATACTAATGTTTTCATAGTAATTCAGATGAGTCATAAAATTTTCGTGTGCCTCTACCATGATCCAGACAGGCCTACATGGACAGTTACTTCTACCTCCAGCAGATGATCGCTGACTACTTCACACTTTTGGACGGCAGCACTAAGCTTTACATCGGCAGAGAGAACATTATTTCGGGGCTACACGCTTGGCCCGTACCTCACGACGCTCCTTACAGGCTTCAGCTTGACAGACTAATGATGTCTATTATCGATGTAAGAGGAATATCAGTGTTAAACTTTAATGAAAAATATAATGATATTAATATACACTGTATTTTTTATTCGCTTTGTGTTAATATAAATAATTTTAGGTGATGCATTTTTGACAAGATAAGATAAGATAAGATAAGATTTTGTTCGGATTTTTTTAACCCCGGAGGGTTAGCCACCCAGGATAACCCAAGAAAGTCAGTGCGTCATCGAGGACTGTCTAACTTATTTCCATTGGGGTCCTTAATCTTGTCCCCCAGGATGCGACCCACACCAGTCGACTAACACCCAGGTACCTATTTGCTGCTAGGTGAACAGGACAACAGGTGTAAGGAAACGTGTCAGAATTTCCACCCGCCGGGAATCGAACCCGGGCCCTCCGTGTGTGAAGCGGGAGCTTTAGCCACCAGACCACCGGGCCAAAAATTTGATATAGATGAAATATGACTATGATGCTGCATGTGTTAACAGCATGATATTAGCACACGAGTTATGATGCTGCATGTGTTAACAGCATGATATTAGCACACTGAGTTATGATGCTGCATGTGTTAACAGATGATATTAGCACACGAGTTATGATGCTGCATGTGTTAACAGCATGATATTAGCACACGAGTTATGATGCTGCATGTGTTAACAGCATGATATTAGCACACGAGTTATGATGCTGCATGTGTTAACAGCATGATATTAGCACACGAGTTATGATGCTGCATGTGTTAACAGCATGATATTAGCACACGAGTGTAGCGAAGCATTTCAAGAAACATCACAAAATTTTCGAATGTTAGATTAATGACTACAGGTACAATCTTTCTATCTCTCTCTCTCTCTCTCTCTCTCTCTCTCTCTCTCTCTCTCTCTCTCTCTCTCTCTCTCTCTCTCTCTCTCTCTCTCTCTCTCTCTCTCTCTCTCTCTCTATGAGCTCAGCAGTACACTAATTAATATTTTCCATCTCATCTTAACGGAAAATGTCAACTTCCCTCCATTATATATATTAATTTACTGAATATGTGACAAACTAAAGACCATTTTCGACCTTTTCAGGCTGGTTTATATCAAAAATGGATTAACGACATGATTCTGAGGGCTAAAGACGACAGCCGCAGGAGACAGCGTGAAGAACAGGAGACATGTCACACTGATGCTGCCCAGAGTGCACCAGAGACCAGAGGGAACCAGGCTCTTACACTCCTCCACATGCAAGGTCCCTTGATGATGATAGCCTTGGGCCTATTTTCCTCTATGCTTGTGTTTATCACCGAGTTAACATACCCTGCAATGCATGGAAGGAATTTTAGACTCTGTAATAAGCATTCTCGCGAAGAGTGATGTCACATCCAAAACTACAGAACTTTTCTCCTGATTCGCAAATCCCTGATCCTGTGAAGCAAGTCCGCAAAGTGTTTAAGATGTAGCGTAGTGATGGTTTCCAGCAGTTGTGAGACATGTTTTGCTAGTTTACTGATCATTTAATGTGGGTCACTACCTATGCTAGAGGGGACTGATCTGAGTCTAGTATACCATATGGATGTGCACAGCAGATTGTATTTTTTTTATAAACAGCGTGAAAACGCTTCCCACGTTCAGTTCTTTTCATCTCTTATATAATAACATGTGCCATTTCTGAATTTACTGGTTGACGAAACGTTTACAAATAAATAACCTAACCTTCATAGTGTCAGTATCATTGTTTTATCTGTATGTATTACCATTCATATGTAACAATATGCATACATATGAACAGGTATACAAGAATATACGCAAAAGGGAACATGTATACATACATTCATACTAGGGATATGCACGTATGCCCATGTATTTATATGATTTATATATAACATATATATATATATATATATATATATATATATATATATATATATTTATATATATATATATATATATATATATATATATATATATATATATTTATAAGTCTCATTTTAAAATGTATTCTCTTATGTCCTTTCTAATTTTCTTATCGTTTAAAGATATATTTTTTTCATTAATGTTAATGCAAAAATTTATAATTTTGCACCAAAGAAACTTAGAAAACTTACCTAACCTTATTATAACAAGCGCAATTTATTTTAGCCTAACCCAACTAAATATATTTTAGATTTGTTTACAATAATTTAATACTAAACAAACACAGTGAAATATATTTTTTTCGTTAGGTTCAGAATGATTTTGGTGAAATTATTGCATACACAAATTTTCACTTGTCCTATATGGCAAGATGAGCGTTGCTATTTAAGCCAAGATCGCAAGTTCTGCCTATTCGGCACGACATATATATATATATATATATATATATATATATATATATATATATATATATATATATATTATATATATATATATATATATATTATATATATATATATATATATATATATATATATGATAATATATATATATATATTATATATATATATAATATATATATGTAATATATATATATGATATGTATATATATACACATAATGTATTTGCACTTGCAGTGTCTGTGTGTTTGGCTCATATATGAGTGTGTGTATTTATTCCACCAAAATTCCCACAAATATTTTCTCAGTTTCATCATTACTTTTTTCTTCCTGTTTACCTTATCCCTGCCCTTTCCAGAAAATGTGTGGACAGAGTTGTAGTGCTCTTCTAGCACCTAAAATAATTAAACGGCCTAATTCAATCACAACAAATTACGTCCATGAAGGAACTCATAATTAATTTTATGTTCGTTATTAAATAACAGAAACCGATCTTAAAATTCGTACATAGTGTTTAGAAATTAGATATTTATGAAAAGATCATTTCAGCAGAGAAAATTATTAAAGTGGAATTATAGCTAATTATTTGTAATATGTAAAGTAAAAGGACACATGAGCAACTAACGTGACTTTTATTGTGGCAACGTTTCGCTCTCCAGGAGCTTTATCAAGCCGTTACAAACAGTGCATGGACACAGAGGGTATATATAGGCTCAGAGTGAGGTGTAATACTAGTGGTAGTAGTAGTAATAATGTAAGTTGTAATAGCAGTAGTAATACAATATGGTAGAACAATCAACTTGCACATGAGCAAAAGGTTATAAAAGTTATTACTTGGGTAACATAAATATATGTTAGACAAACATTTTTGTTGGAGGTTGGATCTGAGAAGGTCTGTTTCAGTGTTCCTTCTCTGTAATGTTCTTGTATGAAAATAGATGGTATAAAATACCGACACAATGGAAACAAACACATATGCAGCTGATCATTTATTGACAACGTTTCGCCCACACAGTGGGCTTTTTCAAGTCACAAACAGATCTATCTTCCAAGCTACCCAAGATTTTACACTCTATATCCCCACCCGGTAGATCATCAGATGCAGCATTCTCCACCTGACCTCAACATTCTTAACCTGACTATAAATACTCACGTACCTTCCACCCCAGGTAGATCTGTTTGTGACTTGAAAAAGCCCACTGTGTGGGCGAAACGTTGTCAATAAAGGATCACATTAAACTGCATATGTGTTTATGTTTCCAATGTTTTTGTGTGGCAGAGACTACATGATACCAGGCAGCTAGTATTACTACTTCTATTACTACCACTAGCATTACTCTGAGCCTATATATACCCTCTGTCTTCTTGTACAGTTTGTAACGGCTTGATAAAGCTCCTGGAGAGCGAAACGTTGCCACAATAAAATGTCACCTTAGTTACTTTCGTGTCCTTTTACTTTACATATTATCTGTTACTAATTATTTAACTAATTAAAATTTAATGTGCTATAAGAAAGAATATTTTAATAAGCATATTAAAAACTTCAATAAAATATATTTAATTTATATTTAAGAAAACATAAATTTAAAATTAGCGCAATGATTATGCCTTATGATCCTATTTAACAGCCGCATTAATGAGGAGACGATTCAAAAATCCCCATTTGATGAGAGCTTACCGCTTCAAAATCATGTGGATGTGGATTAATGGAAAATCAGCAATACAAATCTCACTGGAGAACGGAGTCAGCCTCAGCACAGTATACAGGTGGATTCGACGGTGGAACAAGCAAATAGAAGTGGATACACAGAGAGACAGATGGCCCTATCATACTTCCAGCTTCCCAATATATTCAGACTATGAAACAGTCACTGCTGGCTTCAGATTTCCAGACACAGCCGTCGACAGAAACTTCTTTAGAGGCTCAAATACCCTAAACACTGACTATAATCCGGCATCAGTAAATTACTCTACCTGGGAAATTTAGTGTTAACCCCAGACACACGACAAACACCTAAGATGATTTAAAAGATTTCGTTTCTCTTCGAGAAAGATTTATTCGTGGAACTTAACTGTTAAAATGAAGTACTTTTCAAAACTACTCTCAGCGATATCTTCTCTAAATAAACTTTCATCTTGTAATATTTTTGCTAACTTTACGACATCAAAAAATGGCTTCGACAATTCTGATTAAAATTATAACTGGTTAGAATAAAGGCTTTTCCTATTTGTTTGCAATTTCTACATTAGTTTCACGTGAAAGGAAGTGTCGTATTTGTGACGGTAAATTTAGGAACACATCAATGTATATACAGTGGAGGACCCTCGAATTTAGTAGTGCCTTTTCAGTATGCAAAACTATTTTTATCTATAAAATGTATTGCTTTTAATATTTTTGGGTGTCTGGAATGGTTTAATTGGATTTACATTATTTCCTATGGGAAATATTAACAAAACATACATTTTATAGATAATAAAAATAGTTTTGCATACAGAAAAGGCACTACTAAATTCGAGGGTCCACTGTATATATTATATATATATATATATATATATATATATATATATATATATATATATTGTAGTGTTCAGAGTCAGACGCATCCGAACATACACAGACCTACACATTTAAACATGTACACAAACACTTTTACACAAAAAGATGAACTTAAATGGTTATTCACACACATACACATTGCACCACCTAATTTACACTCCTGGATATAAGTGTAAAGATAGCGTTCAGTACTCTCGTTCTAATAAAATATTTATTGAAAATTTTTTTTATTTCCTAAAACTTAAAATTATATTTCTAATAAGTTAAATGTAATGCCTCTTAATATAGATCTTTTTCTTCACAGTAATGATAATTATAGCAAAAATAATAAAGCTTAACTTAAATAAAAAATTAATGTTGACATATTAGCACAATAACAGTATATTTTTTTAAATAATGATACCAATAATAAAATACATATGTGTGGGCATGTTAGATCGGACTCAATAAATATTTTCTACCCAAGAATTAGGAATTTTAAAATTTATTATTTGTCCAATGTATTATTAAATTCTTCCCAAATTCTATTAATTTTAAATGGATCTAATTTATATAAACCAAAGGAAATATTCATATGATTTTTATTGCTGCTGGAGTGTGAACTTTGCTGCATTGATAAAAGAATTCAGGAAAAATCGGATAGCCGGACTTGAGTCTTGGAGGTGGGAAGTATGTTCCGACACTCTAAAGGAGGGATGGGTAATGTAGGAGTTCATAAGCCATGTGAGCTAAGATACCTGAGTACTTTTGGTGAGACAAGATATTCCATGAACGATTAATGAATGTGACTCCTTTTGGGTCACCCTGCTTGGGTGGGAGACGTCCAGTGTTAATTATTGTTATTATTATTATTATTATTATTAGCAGTAGTAGTAGTAGTTGTAGGTGTAGTATCATCTATTCAATAGTTTTCTTGCCAAAAGTGCGCAGACATCACACCTCAAACGACCCTCGTAACTGCAACATCCCCCCCCCCCAAACCTCGTTCCGAGTTCAAGCACTCTACTTTTCACCCCTGGAAACTTTAGTGGATATGTTACATAAGATCACCCCATTGGTATATATCTCATAAGAGCTGGTTCCAATTTGTGTGTGTGTGTGTGTGTGTGTGTGTGTGTGTGTGTGTGTGTGTGTGTGTGTATGTGTGTGTGCTCACCTATTTGTACTCACCTAGTTTTGGTTGCAGGGGTTGATTCATAGCTCCTGGCCCCGCATCCTCACTGTTTGCTACTAGGTCCTCTCTCTCCCTACTCCATGAGCTTTATCAAACCTCGTCTTAAGACTATGTATGGTTCCCGCCTCCACTACGTCGCTTTCTAGGCTATTCCATTTCCTGACAACTCTATGACTGAAGAAAAGCTTTATCGAACCGCTTTTTAAAGCTAAGTATGGATTCTGCCTCTACATCTCTCTCTAGATGGGTCCATTTCCTGACAACTCAATGACTGAAGAAATACTCCCTAACATCCCTGTGACTCATCTGAATTTTCAGTTTCCAGTTGTGACCCCTTGTTCTGTGTCACATCTTTAAGTCATTCTCTCCCTATCCACATTGTCAATTCCTTTCAGTATATTATAAGTCATTATCACGTCCCCTCTAGCCCTCCTGTCCTCCAATGTCGTCAGGTTGATTTCCCTTAATCTCTCCTCATAGGGCATACCCTTCACCTCGGGGACTAGTCTTATTACAAACTTTTGCACTTTTTCTAATTTTCTGACGTGATTGACCAGGTGTGACTTTCATAATAGTGCTGCATACTGCAATATAGGCCTGACGTATACAGTGTAGTGTGTCTTGAATTACTCGTTACTTAGATGTCGAAATGCTTTTCTAGGCTTGCCAGGCGCCCACATGCTGCACCAGTTATTATTTTGATCTCCTAGCAGGCTTACTTGATCCTCGTCTACTCGTATTCTTCTCATTAGATTCACATTGTCTACAAACAAGGACACCTCTGAATCTATCCCTTCTGTCATATTATTCACGTATACTAGAAGCAGCACCGGATCCGTGATTGACCATTGTGGAACCCCACTCGATACATGCACCCACTCTGACAACTCGTCAATTCGTGACGTACCAGCACACGTTGTTTCCTTCCTGTTGCAGTGTGTATGGGTGTGGGTGTTTGTGTGTGGGGGGAGGGGGTGTGTGTTGACTCATGGGCTTCTGCTGGAACGAGTCTCAGCTTCTCGCACCTGGTATGTGTTGGGCAAGGGGTCTGGGGAAAGGGTCTGGTATGCGTTGGAGGGTGTAGTGTGAACGGTCTGGTATGTTTTAGGAAGGGATATGGAGAGTAAGGTTTTACCACTGAGTGTTTAAGACCCAATTTACGTCTTGCAAAGGAGAACTTGAAAGGGTAAATGTACAGTTAATATATTGAAACCATCAAACCTTTATTATAATTAGTAATACAACGTCTTCCCATCAATTCTCTCGTCTTTCTTCTCATTTTAGCAAAAACAGTCGTGAAATGTATTTCCAAGAAGTTTTGAAATATTTTTTATTCATTCACCTCGTATTTTGCGGTGAAAAATAGGATGAGACAACCAGTGGCAGTGACTGTGGTGGTAGCAGTGCTGATTAACGCAGTGCTACGCACCAGTCTCGTAGCTGGAAGCATGCTGAGTCTTCGTCAAGGTTAGTTGATTAACCTGCTTTTTTCATTCAGTGCTTTTTATTTTCATTCAAGAAATCTGAAGGCATGGGAAACCTTCAGATTTCTTGAATGAAAAATGATAAATTTATGCAGGAAGAAACAGACTATGGCTATAATTTACCTTCATTATTAGCATCATTTATAGTATTTCCAAAATTGTTATAAGTAGTACATTATTATTATAATAAAAAAAGAAGCGCTAAGCCACAAGGACTATACAGCAAATATAAGTAGTATAAAATATATATTTCATTTTTTTTAATGGATTCAGATTATGGGAAGCATCAGAGTCCTTACCAGTCAGCTGCAGTTGTCCTTGATGCTGCCCTTCGGCCACGCTGCTCTGGTATTATCATTCATGATGCCATGAACTTACCGTCAGCCAGTTTCATCGTAAGTTTCAAATTATTATAAATACTTTCACCAACGTTTATTTTGTGATACATTCTATAAATTTCATTTTTCATATACACATCTGCTGTATTTATATAAAAACAATGTTCAGCTGATATGAAGCCTTAACATATGCTTTCAAGAAAAAAGCTTCGCTAATTTTCTTATAGTAACGATCAGGTTACTAGTAAAATCAGAAGAACGAATAAACACTAATATAAAATAATACAAATATCACAAGAGTAAAATAATCAATCAGAGATTTGAGATATAATGATTACATTATTTCTATATATTGTATGATATTGTGAGGTAAGATCGTCATGTCACATTTACACTACATAATCCAGGGGTTCGACCAGCTGTGGGCTTCCTGGGGAGTGGCAGTGTTCCAGGTAGCTTCTGAGAGCCAGGATCCTAACGTGACGCAAGCACAACGAGGTATTACGTTTGCATCCATCTGGACTCGCCTTTGGTATCAATTATTAGTCAAATATAATGTAACTCTTAGCCACTGGCAGAGATATGTCGACTGGGTGTCTTCATTTAGGTGTACAAGATGTAACGCCTCTCGTTAACTTCCGTAAAATTAGATTAATGTGCCCAAAAGTTGCAGAAAGTGTTCGCGGTAGATAACCCTTCTGGCTGCTTTAAGTTTCGTTATAAATTTGTGAGGGAGAGGCACCTCTGGCTTCTAAGTCGTTCTAGTATATGAACATAAACTATTCACGCCACGACACTAGTGATTTGGAGGTTATCGTGAAGTGATGGGCACAAGTGTCTAGGTCCTTAGTCCTCAGGAACACCCGTATAGCTGCCTTTCTTTGTGGGTCCTAGTAGGATGGTTAGGTTAGGACAGCAGGAGCTGCCGTTACGGTAATGTCAAATGACTTTCCAGAAGGTAATGGATCAATAGCCACCTAAAAATAATTCACGTTGTTCAAATTTGTCTTCCTTTGTGCACTTAATTATCCTTCCCGCGAAAGATAACTAGACGCAGGCAATGCATGGCAGTACATTGAGCTTAGGTCATATCTTTGTGACAGAGTAGAAGGTTGAGGCCGCGGAGCTGTCGTGTACCAGAGTTTGAACCTCGATGTATCAAGAGAGTCTTGCCACAGCTGCAGCTTTTGGTCTGACGTATTTGTCTACATTCTCATACCTTGTATATGGCATAAAACTCCACTGTAGCTCCACTCCAAAACATTAAATTACTTCAGTGCAGATTCTTTTGGTCTGGCGAAAACTACTCAGTAGGGCAGAGTATTCCTGAGGAAAGCAGTAACAACTACAAATTAGTAGAAACTCCCGCAAAAGCCAGGGTCGTTTATTCTAGGAAAAATACCTGACTGAGCAGCTAAGGTTGTATCTAAAACGTATATTTAATATTTTTCATTATTGATTTCCTATAGTACATTTACTTATCTCGTATATTAAAAAAGGTTTTTGTACTGTACCTTGTTTCTAGGTCATCGACTTGGTGAAGGAGAGAACTTCCTTCATGGCAACTCATACTTACATGGTACTTCCTCAGCGCATGCTTATGTATGACTTTATATATATTTATATACATGGCGCAGTCTCCTTCTCCGTGGCTACACCATCTCTAACTTTCACCTGGAAAAGTATCTTTGACCCTCTTGCAGTCGACGTTTGGATATCAATCCTCGTGATCTTATTTCTGGTGCCTCCCTGTCTGTTTATGGTAAGAAAAAGTACTGTTTGATTTGCGTTCTTAGTTCATTGTTACTAACACACACACACACACACACACACACACACACGGGGATGTTAGAAAGTATTTCTACAGCCACAGAGTAGTCAGGAAGTGGAATAGTAGAGGCAGGATCCATACATAGCTTTAAGCAGAGGTATGATAAAGCTCACGGTTCAGGGAGAGTGACCTAGTAGCGACCAGTGAAGAGGCGGGGCCAGGAGCTAGGACACGACCCCTGCAACCTCAACTAGGTGAATACAACTAGGTGAGTACACACACACACACACACACACACACACACACACACACACACACACACACACAAAGGGCAAAGTCATGAAGATTGGGGAAGGGCAAAGAAGACCACAGACGGCGTGCAGTCTAGGGGCTAGAGCCTACAAACCTCACTCAAGGAAAAGGATCTTCGGATGAGTATAACACCAAGCACATTCCTGAAGCGCACATCAACCAAATAACTGCTGCAACATACGGGCGCCTAGCAAACCTAAGAACAGCATTCCGATATCCTAATAAGGAGTCATTCAGAGCTCTGTACACTGTGTACGTTAAGCCCATATTGGAGTATGCAGCGCCAATTTAGAACCCTCACGTAGCCAAGAATGTAAAGAAACTAGAGAAAGTGAAAAGGTTTGTAATAAGACTAGTCCCGGAGCTAAGGGGTATGTCCTACGAGGAGAGGTTAAGGAAAATCGATTTGACGACACTAGAAGACAGCAGAGATAGGGTGGAAAGAGACAGGATGTTCCAGAGATGGGACACAGCAACAAGGGGTCACAGTTGGAAGTTGAAGACTCAGATGAATCACATGGATGTTAGGAAGTATTTCTTCAGTCACAGAGTTGTCAGGAAGTGGAATAGTCTGGGTAGTGATGTAGTGGAGGCAGGATCCATACATAGCTTTAAGAAGAGGTATGATAAAACTCATGGAGCGGGAAGAGTGACCGAGTTGGGCCAGTGAAAAGGTTGGGCCAGGAGCTGTGACTCGACCCCTGCAACCACAACTAGGTGAATACAACTAGGTGAGTACACACACACACACACACACACATGATATATATATATATATATATATATATATATAATATATATATATATATATATATATATATATATATATATATATATATATAATATATATATATTACCAATATATATATACACTTACCAATTAGGTATTCTCATGTACTTTCTTGAATGTGTTTTCAGACATTTATGTTGAGACGAGAAAAAAATTTGCATTAATCTAATTATTTATTAATTTTGATGGGAAAACAAATCTTGTCTCTCTGGTAAAAGTCTTACACAAATACAAATTTTAAATTGTCATTGGTTTGAAAAACTAAAAAAAAATTATATTAATTCTCCTTTAACCCCTGTCCCTACTTTCTGGCATTGTCTGATCCTAGCGAGCTACCCACTAGGTTCTTGCTTCTATATATTTAAAATTTACAACATTATTCATGTTGCATCTGCTATACAAACACTTACTGAGAAAGTATGGAAATGTTATGTATTAAAATTGGAGTAAAATTATTAGAAGAAACACAGTAAGTGTCAGGAGCCCAAGACTGTTCAACTCCCAGCATACATAAGGGGGATTACCTATAGACCCCTGGCTGTCTTCAAGAAGGCGCTGGACAGGCACCTACAGTCAGTACCTGACCAGTCGGGCTGTGGTTCGTAAGTCGGGTGCGTGTGGCCAACAGTAACAGCCTGGTTGGTCAGGCCCTGATCCACCTTGAGGCCTGATCACAGACCGGGCCGCGGGGGCGTTGACCCCCGAAACCCTCTCCAGATAATACAAACAAAAAATCACAAAAATGAAATTGCAGAATATTTAGCCTAATAATACAACGTTGTTGAGGCTCTTAAAGTTATTAACAGCACTAAAGTGGAATACTGAAATAACAAAAACAAAAAAACAGTATAGCCAAAACACCAAATTCTGTACTGCTATATTTCTTAAATACTGACTTATTTGTGTTATTTACACTCAGTTCCAGAGATCTTGCAGTTTCATCCACGTACTTCTAATCACACACTCGCAAAGAATGTTACAAACTCTTGCGCTGGTGATTGTGTTGTCGGTTTTTAATTTACAGTGTTGGCACAAGGTGAAATGTTTCCTGGTGAGACGCATCTTCCACTTGTAAATTAGCTATGGTTACTGCACTCAGCATAACTTTGAAACTGTCTGTTATATTCGAGGAGGACCGAAGTTCTAAGTGTGGTTTGTGGAAAGGTGATCACAGCGGCCGTTTCAGAATCGAACAAACCTGTTATACGTTAAACTACATCATCCTGCATCCTTCATGTGTAACTGACAAAGGGAAGCTACAAATATTATGAGAATAAGGAAAACTATTGACAGGTAGCCTTCACTACCAGTAGCATCGACAGGTAGCCTTCACTACCAGTAGCATCGACATTACCAGTAACATTGACACTGCCAGTAACATCGACAGGTAGCCTTCACTACCAGTAGCATCGACATTACCAGTAACATTGACACTGCCAGTAGCATCGACAGGTAGCCTTCACTACCAGTAGCATCGACATTACCAGTAACATTGACACTGCCAGTAACATCGACAGGTAGCCTTCACTACCAGTAGCATCGACATTACCAGTAACATTGACACTGCCAGTAGCATCGACAGGTAGCCTTCACTACCAGTAGCATCGACACTACCAGTAACATTGACACTGCCAGTAACATCGACAGGTAGGCTTGACAATTATTTCCGGAGATTCCTTTCTCGGATTTAGCAGCGACCGAAATACTTCTAGTTCTTAATGGATTCAGAGAAATATTGGAAGCTTCTGAGTTTTTACAGTTATGTTAGAGTTATTCTTCATGCAGTCTCCCAGCCCCACTGCTCAGGCATTGTCATCTATGACACTAAGAACTTACCATCATTGTTTTATCGTAAGCTTCGAAAATATTGTATATATTCTTACTAACATTACTTGTATCCTTGAATATAAGGTACGTTTAAGAAATTATATAATAGGAACTATAAATAATGAGCATGAAGGGAGCAAAAAAAAATTGTGTGCTAGCACACGTAGGCTAAACATGGGTTTGTAATAATCTCCTCATCTTGATATTAGCCAATCAGAGTTTAATTTCATTATTACGTCAGTAGTGAAGAGTTGATTCTGCGCGTCGCTGTGTCCTCCCGCTTATAAATCTGCGAGACGGACTCTTGGATGTCAGTAGTTTGGTGTGGTTGTCACGGGATAATTCGTGGATATTTTGCTTCGTATTTGAGGTGAGCTAATGCATTGTATATTTTAGGTTTATGAGTGTATATATTGCGTGTGTGTCTGTATGTGTGTGAGTATGTGTTGTGTGTGTATGTGACTGTTTTTTCTAATCAGATTCTCACAAATATTTGTATTTTTTTTATTTTTATTCTTTTTCGTCCTCTGTTTCCTGTATCTAATCTTTCCACTCAATGGGTATAAAATCTTGTATATTTACCAGTTTGAAAATATGAAAAATAAAAAATAAACAGTATTGGCCTAATTCAATCAAAACAAATTACTTACATGAATGAAATCATAATGAATTTAATGTTCGTTGTTAAATATTGTTTGTGAATTACATATTTACCAAAAGATCATCTCAGCAGAGAATTTTATATTAAAGTGTAATTTTAACCAATGATTAGTTGTAGCAAATTATTTAACTAATTTAAATTTAATATACTAAAAGAAAGAATATTTTAATAAGCATATTAAAAACTTAAAACAACAAATATATTTAACATATATTTAAGAAGAAATATAAATTTTATCTTAGCACAATGTTTATTTTTTATGATCCTATTTGACAGCAGCCTTAATGGAGAGACGATTCCAAAATTCTCATTTGCTGAGAGCTTACCGTTCCAAAATTGTGTGGTTGTGGATTTATGGAAAACCAGCAAAAGAAATCTCGCTGGAGAACGGAGTCAGCCTCAGCACAGTATACAGGTGGATTCGAAGGTGGGAAGAGGAAGTCACAGTGGATAGACAGAGAGACAGATGGCCCTACCGTCGTTCGTGCGTCCAAAACTACTCAAACCATGAAACAATCACTGCTGGCTGCAGATTTCCAGACAGCCCTCGACAGCACCCTCTTTGCCGCTCAGACACTCTAAACACTCATTATTATCCGGCATCAGTCGATTACTCTATCTGGGAAATTTAGTGTTAACCTCAGACACACGACAAACACCTAGGATGGCTTTCCAGATTTCGTTTCTCTTTGAGTGAGAATTTAAATTCGTAGAACTTAGCTGTGAAAATAAATTCACCAGAGAAAACTAATTTATTTTCACTAATTTTTAAGACAAATTAAAGCGATATATTTTACAAGTAAACTTTCATCCTGTAAAATTTATACTTGACTTCACATCAAAACATAACTACAACTGTTCTCATTAAAGTTAGAATTGGTTTCTGCAATTTGTACAGTGGTTTCACGTGCAGCAGAAGTGAAGAAAGTGTCGAATGAATCTATGACGGTAAATTTAAGGAACATATCAATTTTTTTTCACATATATTGTTCAAAAGTCAAACGCACCCAGAGACACAATAACCAACACATTTAAACATTTACACAAACACTTTTACACAACAAGAAGAACTTAAACAGTTATTCAAACAGAAAATGCACCACCTAATTTACACCATCCTTGGCCACCATCCTTGGCCACCATCCTTGGCCACCATCCTTGGCCACCATCCTTGGCCACCATCCTTGGCCACCATCCTTGGCCACCATCCTTGGCCACCATCCTTGGCCACCATCCTTGGCCACCATCCTTGGATATAAGTAAAGAGGCAGCGTTCAATACTCTCATTCCAATAATAAATATTTATTGAAAAACTGTTTTATTTCCTAAAACTTAAAATAATATTTCGAATAATAATAATAATAATAATAATAATAATAATAATAATAATAATAATAATAATAATAATAATAATAATAATAATAATAATAATAATAATAAAGCTGAAATAACAAAAACGAAAGTATTAACATACTAACATACTAATTGGGTTGGGCAAATGTTTTGTTAGTGGGATGAATTGTAAAGGACCTGCCTAGTATGGGCCAACAGGCCTCCTGCAGTGTTCCTCCTTTCTTATGTTCTTATGTTCTTATGATAATAACATTATATTATTTTTTTAATAATAATACCAATAAAATACCAGCGAATAAAAAAAAATACTCTGGAGTGATCAACACCATGCCCAGCTCTTCTAGGGTAGGGTAGGTGCCTGAGCCAGAGCTTGCAGCTCACAAGACTGCCATTCTCATTAACCCCCTTGGGGGCTGGGGTGGCAGACCAGAGAGGTCTAGCTTCTCCCTACGAGCCCCATGAGGGCGGGGAATGTGGCTAGGCCTGGGGATAGTTGGTCCCAGCGATGACAGGGTACTTGTCCCTCCTCCCATGGGAGACTTAGGTCTCAGACACTCCCTAGATAGGGAGCCAAGGCCGGGCCACCACCTGGAAAAGGCCCAGGCCGGGAGAATTCCAGCGAATCAACAAGAAGAAGTACGAAGATTGAGACACTTATGCAGCATATGGGAATCTTTATTCAGGAAACGTTTCGCCACACAGTGGCTTCATCAGTCCAATACAAAGAGGAAGGCGTAAGGAGAGGAGGAGTATGAGGTAATCAGTCCCTCAGCCTGGAGTCGATGTGTTCAGTCCATCAATCTACAAGATCGATGGACTGAACACATCGACTCCAGGCTGAGGGACTGATTACCTCATACTCCTCCTCTCCTTACGCCTTCCTCTTTGTATTGGACTGATGAAGCCACTGTGTGGCGAAACGTTTCCTGAATAAAGATTCCCATATGCTGCATATGTGTCTCAATCTTCAACTTGTCGGTTTTTCAAACCATTCATCACAAACCATTCATCACAAACCATTCATCACAAGAAGAAGTACTCTGGAGCAAGTGTCGAGTGTGAGCATGAAAATATTTAAGAAGGAATTCAGGGAAATCGGTTAGCCGGACTTGCGTCTTAGAGGTGGGAAATGCATGCACTCTGAAGGAGGAATGGGTGATGCTGCATCTCAGAGGTTATGTGAACTAAAATACCTGCGTACTTACGGAGAGACACACGGTATTCCATGAGCGATAGTGAAAATATCTCATATTTCGGGTCACCTACTTCGGTGGGAGCCGTAGTGGTGGTGGTAGTTGTAGTAGTAGTGGTGGTAGTGATAGTAGTGGCAATAGTAGCAGTAGTATCATTCATTCAATAGTTGTCTTGCCAAACGTGAGCAGATATCACACCTCAAACGACCCTCGTAACTGCAACATTCCAACACCTCCTCCAGAGTTCAGGCACTGTACTTTTCAGAAGCTTTACTGGATATGTTAGATAAGATCACCCCATTGGTATATATCTCAAAAGAACTACCTCCGATTTGCCTGTGTGTGTGTGTGTGTGTGTGTGTGTGTGTGTGTGTGTGTGTGTGTGTGTGTGTGTGTGTGTGTGTGTGTGTGTGTGTGTGTGTGTGTGTGTGTGTGTGTGCACTCACCTAATTGTGATTGCAGGGATCGAGTCATAGCTTTCGGCCCCTCTTCACTGGTCGCTACTAGGTCCACTCTCCCTGCTCTATGAGCTTTATCATACCTCTTCTTAAAGTTATGTAGTGATCCTGCCACCAATACATCACTCTCCAGATTGTTCCACCTCCTGTCTATTGTATGGCTGAAGAAATACTTTCTAACCTCCCTGTGACTCATCTGAGTTTTCAACTTCCAGTTGTGACCCCTTGTTGCTGTGTCACATCTCTGAAGCATTCTGTCCTAATTCCTTTGTCAATTAATCTCAGTATTTTATATATTGTTATCATGTCCTCTCTATCCTTCCTATCTTCCAGTGTTGTCAGGTTGAGTTTCCCTAACCCCTCCTCATAGGACAAACCCCTCAGCTCCGGGGCTAGTCTTGTTACAAACCTTTGCCCTTTCTCTAATTTTGACGTTTTTTGTGTGTGTGGGTGGGTGGGTCTTTTGTGTTAACTCATTGGCTTTTGCAGGGACGAGTCTCGGCTTCTCGCACCTGGTATGCGTTGGGGAAGGGGTATGGAGAGTAAGGCTTTACCACTAAGTGTTTAACACCCAACCTTACGTCTTGCAAAGGAGAGCTGGAAAGGGTAAATGTACACTTGATACATTGACCATCAAACCTTTATTTTAATTAGTAATACAACGTCTTCGTATCGATTCCCTCATCTTTCTTCTGTTTTTAGCAAAATCAATCGTGAAATGTATTTCCAAGAAGACTTGAAATAATATAATTTTTCATTATTGATTCACCAGGTATTCTGCAGTGTAAAAATGAAAAATAGGATGACACAACCAGTGGCAGTGACTGTGGTGGCAGCAGTGCTGATTCACCCAGTGTTACGCACCAGTCTCGTAGCTGGAAGCATGCTGAGTCTTCGTCAAAGTTAGTTGATTAACATTTTTTCATTCAGTGCTTTTTATTTTCATTCAAGAAATCTGAAGGCTTCCCAAGCCTTCAGATTTATTGAATGACAAATTTATGCAGAAAGAAACAAAGTTATGGCTATAACTTATCGTCAATATTAGCATCAGTTATAGTATTTACAAAATTGTTATAATTTGTATAAAATATACATCTCACTTTTAATGGATTCAGATTATGGGAAGCTTCAGAGTCCTTACCAGTCAGCTGCAGTTGTCCTTGATGCTGCCCTTCGGCCACGCTGCTCTGGTATTATCATTCATGATGCCAAGAATTCACCTTCAGCCAGTTTCATCGTAAGTCTCAAAAATATTGCAAATATTTTCAACAACTTTTATTTTGTGATACATTCTATAAATTTATTTTTTTCATATAAGTATCTACTGTATTTATATAAAAACGATGTTCAGCTGATATGAAGCCTTAAAGAATGCTCTCAGGAAAGAAGCTTTGCTTCGTTTCTTCTAGTAGCAATCAGGAAACTAGTAAAATCAAAAGAACGAACAAACACTAGTTTAAAATAATATAAATATCACAAAAATAAAATAAATAATCAGATTTGAGAAGTTTATATTAACGAGTTACTCGACTGATATAATGATTATATTATTTCTATACATTGTATGAAATTGTGAGGTAAGATCGTCTTGTCACATTTACACTACATAATCCAGGGCCTCGACCAGCTGTGGGCTTCCTGGGGAGTGGCAGTGTTCCAGGTAGCTTCTGAGAGCCAGGATGCTAACTTGACGCAAGCACAGCTCTCATTTGTGGTCTCCCAGGCAAGGCGGGTACGTCTCTCTCCTATCACTGTTAAGGCTGATACGTCACTTTCATAATATTAATGAGGTGGGTACGTCACTCTCACATAACGTCTTTCATGGTGACATCAACAGCTGAGGCAGGTGTCTGGCTGCATGACGGTGGTGGTAGTGAGTGACAACAAAGACTTCCTCGCCACCTTCGCTGAGTGTTCCCTCAAGGGCCGCCTCCTGGTGTGGTCGACGAGGCTCCTCGCCGTCACCCGCCTGCCCCTCCCGCAGCTGCAGCAACTCATGAGCACCCACTGGACATTTTCCATGATGAATGCGATGTTGATAATTTTAAACGAGAAGTTGAGTCTACAAAGGTAAATTTCTTCAAAGATAATAGTTTTTTTAGCAGTAAAACACGTGAGAAACCTCTTTAAAATGTACATATAAATAAAGCTAGTTTATTCTTAAAATATAATGATCTGTAATCAAGAGGGATTTTGGTTAAAAAAAAAAGTGTTAACAATGCAGGATCCAGAAAAATTGTGATTCCAGCACCGACTTTTGCATTTTTCAGGTCAGTTAACTGCTTTTTTTTTACTGGAATGAGACCTTTTAGACCTGATGACCAGTTATGAGTCATGATTATATTGTCACTCAGCTATAGTCTTCGTTGTGTTGTCCGGGACGTTAACGGGAAATGAAGCTAATTATCCATCAAGCTTGATGCTCTCGTCAGAATGTGTTAAACTATTTGCTAAAATATTATTCAATACTTTCGAACCTCTCATCAGTTATTTTCAACAAAGCCTTCAAAATTATTTAATAAAATTAATAAGTGAAACAGATCTCCATATTTCACTTAGATTTTGTCACTAGCAAGCACAGTGTTTTCCAAAAAAAAAAAAATCTTAAACGATAATGGCCCAAAGAACTGTTCCTAACGAAAACAAATGACCACATATTAATTAATAACCTTTAATCTTATTGGCACACAGATCTTTTGCAAATAAGATGATGTAATGTCGATTTAAGTTTCAGTGTGTATATAAATCTGCCGTACAGCGCCTCCGGAGCCAGAATAATGCGGACTGGGACATGGACAACAGATCGTGGTCTTCGACTTCTTAATTACCTCCTTTTCCCTGAAAAATTCAATAAGTATATATGTACTGTAATACATTAATGGCCTGATAGAAGTGTTACATAAAGCAAAAGTAATGCATAATATGACAGAATTCTCTGTCTATTATCGACAGTAATCTACGATTTGAAAAACATTAAAAATTTTGATTTTTTTTTTCAGTTTTTATGGAGCCACAGTAAATGTGACAGCTTTGCCATATAAACCTTTTGGAGCGTAGTCGAGGAACGGAGTGGTGATAATAGTTGTGTCACCAGGTACTCTGGTAGCGATGCCATTATGCTGCGAGCCATTGCTAACTCTCTCAACTTTACCATTAACGTGGTACCTACAAGCAACTGGGACGAGGTTTGTTACCTGTAACCATTTGGAACCAGATTTGTAACTACCGAGCACCAGGCTTGTGACCAATGGTTCCAGATTTGTAATCGCCTGGTATCAGCTTTGTTACTATATGGCACCAGCTTTGCAATCATCTGGGGCAAGGTATATAACAACGTGGTATCACGTTTGCATCCATCTGGACTCACATTTGGTGTCAATTATGTGTCGAATATACTGTAAATCTTAGCCACTGGCAGAGATATGTCGTCGGGGTGTCTTTATTTAGGTGTACAAAATGGAACTCCTCTTGTTAATACCCGCAAAATTAGATTAATGTGGCCAGAAAGTTGCAGAAAGTGTTCGCGATAGATAACCCTTCTGGCTGCTTTAAGTTTCGTTATAAATTTGTGAGGGAGAGTCACAGCTGCATATCTTTGTGGGTCCTAGTCTGGTGGTTAGGTTAGGACAGGAGAAGTTGCCATTATGGTAATGTCAAATGAGTTTCCAGAAGGTAATGGATCAGCAGTCGCCTAAAAATAACTAGCGTTGCTCAAATTTGTCTTCCTTTGTGTAATTAATTATCCTTCCTGCGAAGGATAACTAGACGCAGGCAATGCATGGCAGTACATTGGGCTCAGGTCATATCTTTGTGACGGAGTAGAAGGTTGAGGCTGCAGAGCTGTCTTGTACCAGAGTTTGAACCTCGATGTATCAAGTGTCTTCCCTGAGAGTCTTGCCACAGCTGCAGCTTTTGGTCTGACGTATTTGTCTACATTCTCATACCTTGTATATGTCATAAAACTCCACTCTGTGTCCACTCCAAAATATGTTACCATTTTGGTGCAGATTCTTTTGGTCTAGTGAAACTACTAAGCAGGGTCGAGTATTCTCCAGGAGAGCTGTTTACAGCCCCAAACAGTCACTGTAATTGGTTAAATATAGATTACCCAAGCAGCCAGTCGTCTTCCCGAATGCAGTGCTAACTTGCAGGGAAACCTGCAAGACCTGGTTCAGCCAATATGGCTGAACCAGGTCTGCTCACACAGCTAGTAACCACCACACATTCAGCAGCAGCTTCCGCGAAAGCCAGGGTCGTCTGTTCTAGGAAAAATACCTGACTGAGCAGCTAAGGTTGTATCTAAAACGTATATTTAATGTTTTTCATTAATAATTTCGTATAGAATATTTTCCTATCTCGTAGGAAAAATTTCCTTGTACTGTACCTTGTTTCTAGGTCACTGACTTGGTGATGGAGAGAACTTCCTTCATGGCAACTGTTACGTACATGGTACTTCCACAGCGCCTTCCTCTGTATGACTTTACATATATTTACATACATGGCTCGATCTCCTTCTCCGCGGCTACACCTTCTCTAACTTTCACTTGGAAAAGTCTCTTTGACCCTCTTGCAGTCGAAGTTTGGATATCAATCTTCGTGATCTTATTTCTGGTGCCTCCCTGTCTGCTTATGGTAAGCAACAGTGCTGTTGATTTGCGTTCTTAGTTCACTGTTGTTAACATATATATATATATATATATATATATATATATATATATATATATATATATATATATATATATATATATATATTATATATATATATATATATATATATATATATATATATTTAGGTGGAAGGACGTAATAACAGTGAACTAAAAATTCAAATTAAACTGTATGTCTGCCTCCAATATTATTTAGTGAACATATAAATTTAAGAACATAATCATCTCTGTCTCAGATCAATTACCCAGAAGACACAGCAAAATTAAGTAACAAATTAATAATAGGAGACTCGGCTGAAATAGCTGTTGGAACGCTGCTTGGTCAGAGTACCAAGAAGCAACTACCTGAGAGTAGTTCGAGTCGGTTGTTGCTGGTGGCTTGGTTGGTGTTCGCCTTCATCGTGAGCAACGTCTACAGGGGCAACCTGACAGCCGCTCTCACCCTCCCCAAGTACCCTGCCAGACCAGAGACACTGGAGCAGCTCGTCAAAGTTGTTGACAAGTAATGATAATCTTTGTGAGTTTAAGGGAGCTTACCTTGATGACAGCAAAAGGTTCAGTAGCTAGGGATCTTGATTTACCCTTATCTCTTGAATTTTAGCTGCATATCAGCCCACACATGAATGAACACTGTTGGTAAAAAAAACTATAACCATTATGTTATTCAAATTTTCCACTCACAGGGTAACGATGCCTGATTATGGGGAGAAGTTTCATCAGTTCTTCAAACAGTCAGATTCCTTAGTATATCAGGCACTCTCTAACATCATGGAAATCGTCCCTTCCGCAGAGTATGGACTACATCAAGCTGCAGTTAAAAAGTAAGTGCATATCTTTAATTCGTTTCTATGTGTA